ATATATATATATATATATATATATATATATATATATATATATATATATATATAAGTAGTTATATAAGTATGATAAAGTATGAAAAATTTTTAAAGATTTTGGCACCGTGGAGAGAACATGAATTTTATACCAGGTTCCAAGGAAGACCGGACTTGCTGGAGTATGCCCAACAAAATGGAATTCCGATTTCGGCGACACCAAAGGAGCCGTGGAGTACCGATGCTAATCTTGTGCACATTAGGTAAATAATCGATCATAAGTTTTCATTAAGTGTAACATTTGACAGGACATTTTACGCTTGATTCTTTTCATCCGTAGCTATGAATCGGGAGTGTTGGAAAATCCTGCAAACTCGGCGCCGAAAGGACTTTACAAAATGACTATTGATCCCGTGAATGCCGTTTCGGAGGCGGAGGAAATCGAAATCGATTTCAAACACGGCTATCCGTCCAGCGTGAGAAGCCTGAAGAACGGACGGACTTTCGACACTCCCCTGGCGATAATCGAGTATCTCAACGAAGTCGGAGGCGCGCATGGTATCGGAAGAGTCGACATCGTGGAAAATCGATACATCGGATTGAAAGTACGTTTATCGCGATAACTTTCAATAATTCGTAATTCGCGATGCGAAATTCTCGGAACGGAAACAATTCTATAAACGAGAGAACGTTGTGGCAGATTAGTGTTACGTTCAGCACGGTACACGCGTTATCGAAATAGAAGTGAATCAAGCTTCATGAAATGTTTTCTCCAGTCCCGTGGTATTTACGAGTCACCAGGCGCCAAGATTCTACATGTTGCGCATCAGGACTTGGAGGTGTTCGCGTTGGACCGCGAAGTTTTGAGAGTCAAGTCCTATCTGACGGACAGGATGTCGGATTACGTGTATAATGGTAATTAAACCCTTATAGAAATAGTATTAAAAATACTGAAAATAAGTAATTAATCAATGATTCTTAGTATGATATTTCTATAAGGGAAGCTCCTGCTTACTGCGGAATCTTTTGATCGATGATGTCAGAGGTGAAAAAACACGCTAAAAATTTTTGCAAAATACGTTGAAATAAAAAGATATATTCATAAAATAGCACTTTTCTAGCAGCACGTACTGGTTGGCCAACGATTGATCGTTATAAGTTCAATATTGACTCAATACATTGTGCTGTTAGAGCTTCACAATTTTATCACGTTTTATGGCTATTTATTGATTATTAGAATTAAAAGAAAGCATCCGAACTTATTTATGAATCTGTTATTATTTTATGAAGCTGCTATGAATTATTTTATGAATCTGCTCGTTCGATTGCAATATCATTTTATTTTGCAAGGATTTTTAATGTGTATTTTCTCTCTTTTGGCAGCATAAATCATGATGTTGTGTACTTAATGGCCTGTATACTTAAACGTACATATAAACACAACAATGCTAATATAAAAATAAATTAAGTGTGAAAATCGCAAGAAATACACTTTGATCGCAGGTTTCTGGTTCTCGCCCGAATGCAACTTTGTACGGGAAAGCATTCTTTGCGCGCAGAAATACGTGAACGGCACAGTGAGACTGCAACTGTACAAAGGAAACGGTTGGTATCGATCACAGTTCGAGCTGGATTTAGCGCTAAGTGTAATATAAGAAAGATCGACGTCGATTTTAATCGCACTTAGCGCTGAAAATAAGAACACACGCGAATGAGAAGATTCAACCTATAATGGACAAGAGAAATATGAAATTGTTGTTCTTTCTTTTTTGCAGTGATGGCGATCGGCAGATCGAGCAAAGTTTCGTTGTACAACGAAAATCTCGTTTCGATGGATGTACAAGGCAACTTCGAGCCTGCCGACGCCACTGGATTCATTCGCACGCAGGCTCTAAGGTTGAAGGAGTTTCATCGTTTCAACAAACAATGCGATGCCTGAATAGAGAGAATGAGACTCCTGTTACCTGCTGGTTCCGCAGATTTCGAATAAAAACGAAATGCACTCCACTACTTAACCCAACGCTGTTTTATTACTGCCTTCTCATACATCACTTTTTCTTATTTTCGCGCGCGACTTATAAACTTTATAAACATTATAAACATTCACGGCGCATGATACCTTGAGACATATGTAATAACTTTAGGCATTGCTATATAACAACAAAACGATCTAAGAGACACGATGCGTGAAGAGTGGAAGCGAATTCGATTGCTTTGGCATCGCGATGCAAGAGTACCAAGGGACCTGCTAAAAAACAGAAGTCCGTGTAGTTATTAGCGAAGCATAGAACAAGATCTCTCGTGTAAGGCGAATATTGAGAAAAATATTAAAAAATTCCATATTGAAAAATTCGTTAAGTTAAAATTTTCAGGGTTTTTGAAAATTTTAAATATCATATAACGTGTTATATTAACGCTTCCCCTTGCACGATGTTATTAACAATTCAACTTTGTCCGCACTATGCAAAGAGATCGATGTGCATCATCACGAATCAGCCAAATCGGCGCAGAAACTCGTCTGCCAAGCACTACAATATAATAGTGCTCCAACGAAAACGAATGAAAAGCTACCTTCCATCCGAGATCTTTTGTGACGCTCGTAATCCTCCTTACCTCGCCGCCACAAAAGAAGACAAGAGAGAAAGGATAAAATAGATTGTTTAGAACATTGCGGCGCCAAAGCGACCGAAATTGCGCCTCGTAGCGGAAAGAAGATACGTTTCATTAATCGTATATGTGAGAAAAATATAACGGACAAATGAAATAAATCTACATAAATCTGATCGGTGATTTCTCGATTATTCTATGCGCATGCAGTGGTCACGGGAAGAAGGTGAGGTCATAATGAAACACTACCGCTACACACTCGTTTGCCTTCATTGTTATTAATAATTAAACCTTAGGATTATTAGCATACTCTCGTGTGAGGATTATAATAGCGTATATAATATGCGTCTTTACTTCAGGGATATTCATAGTATACACAGATTCTCCTTTGTCGTATCAGATGCCTGCAAAAGTTCGCCGGATTTTTAGACGTGTTCCTTTTACCGTATTAACATGGAAACGTGAACACGTGCTATGTTTCAAATTATTTGCCATTGTTATTCACTCGTCACCGTTCGCAAGTAATGGCTCAATTCTCTCTGCGAATCCCCGCAAAGTGAGACTCGTCGTTTGAGCCAATATACTCATCGACAATCCGACGGACTTTCGCAGGCCTCTAATAATAATAATCTGCGCTCTACTCTCGGGCAACTCACAACTCAAGTTCGCCGGGTGGTGTAAAATTCAACATTCGTGCTAGGGAACTTAAACTTATGCGAGAAAAATCGCGAGCGAGATTCGTCGACATGCTTCAGTTGCTTCTATGCCAATAGTTCGCTTGTCCTCCCGGTACGCGAAACGCCGTTGTGTTATTGTTGTCAACGCGTGCTAAATCCATCCTGGATTCCTGAAGATCGCGTCCGAATCGGAAAGGATTCTCATGTGTATCGACGAACGTCTAGAAGCATTGGCGAGACGTGCATCCGATTTGATCGTGACGTTCGCCGAAACGATTTTTTTTCTTTTTCCTAACAATACTCGGTGTTCCGCGTAAAAAGGAGGACGCGATCGACACTTCGCAACTTAAGGGAAAGCCTATATGTCAAGTACGAAATCATGGCGGTGCTCCTTTCTATGTACCTCGGCTACGAGTGACTTTCTATACAGGTCTCTTATTTGCGTTCTGCTCCATTCTGCATTGATTTGCATGTATGTATATATGTATGTATGTATGTATGTATGTATGTATGGCTATATATATATATATATATATATATATATATATATATATATATATATATA